CGATAGACTTATCTCCACGTGGTGCACCCTGAGCAATGTATACTCATGCGGCAAAAAAGTCTATAAACCGACAGCTGACTTCTGAGTTCAAGCTATCATGACCCCACTGTATTTCATATTCGACCCATTTCACAGTACACACCTTTGTGTCTGTCTCTTTTACATCTTTAAAACACTCTTCTGTTCCCCCAGCCAACTGGGCTTTTTTCGCTTTGATGTTCCTCCTCCTCTCTGTGAAGCCCGAAGTCAGCTAAACGGCTAATGATAACTATCATAAAGCCTGCCATTTGATATAAATAAATATTCTGCACTAAAGCTCAAAATTTGCCAAATATACTATGGCTTCCCTGTGACCATAAAAATATAAGCCCCTGAATTTAAGAAATTATGCCAGAAATGATGAATTAACAACAGACTCGAATTTTCATTGACCTAATGGCAGCGACAATAATTGAAGTGCCGTGTTATCGACATTTTCAGTTGACAAGTTTTCGATTGTATACGAGTGATAGAGATCTAACTTCCGATTCTTTTCAACCATTCTCGAATCGTTATTGGTTGAGATGGGCGCTTTATCAGTATCAGACAAGCCTTCCTTTGATTTACGCCATATATGCGGGCATTTCAAGCTACGCTTCAAATGCGGAGCTATAAACGTTAGCCATTTTTGTGTGACGACCATTTCAAATGTCATCTCACATGTGTGAATTAATCACGTCAAACAGTGCTCAAATATTATTTCAGGGCAAATAAAAGTGATCGAAAAATTGTCAGTTGAAATGAGGTGTAAGGTGTAATGGCCTAATTAGTATCCAAAAGAGATGTCATTCCCAGAACTCAATAATACTAAGCAATTACTGTAATGGTGGGATTTACCTAAAATTCGTTCGACAGAACGACACTACAATTTGGCACATTTTGACAGATATTAAAATTTTATGATTAAGAAACGATTATTCATTAATTTTATTGCATGAAAATTATTTATTTAAGCCACAAAATGAATTATTGGCTTGAGCACCACAAACCCGAACTGTTAGACTACCCTTTACCTCGGTAAATTGTTTTAAAATGTAGAAGCAATGATTTCTCCCCGAATGTCTATTGGACAAAAGTATTGGTTAGGGTAAAGTAAAAATGAGTAAGCGGACATCCAAAAGATCTTGAGGGGATATATGAAATAGATTTCTCTCGAAAAAGCTACATTATCTTCTATCTAACCACTTTGCTCTCTAAATTACCTAATAACCTATGCCCAATTGTTGAGGTTTTTCGTTTCATTATGCGTGAGGCCAAAATTACGTTATCTGAGTCGTAAGGGCATAATTTTAAACAAGCAACGTCTAAGGGTTTGTGAGGAAGTTTCGTATACTTTAATCTAAACGACTTTATATATTCAAAAATTCTTCCGATATTTGGATCTCACTAAGAAAAGGGTGCTCTGTTGCCCATGATTCTGATCGGGAGATATATTCCCGAACTTCAGCAGTTATTCCAAGTCGTCAATTCAGCAATCCTAATGTAACTTAAAATACCATAGCTCTGAATGCATCACTTTATAGACATCGAGTGGAAATCAAGTAAAATGAGAATAAAACAAAGGAACTGATATTGTGAAGAGAGCAGAGATTTTAACTCGATAAAAGTGATTAATCTAACACTGACTTGTTGTTCACCGTATGACCCCTGTAAGAAGAAAATAAACAAAAACACGAAATGACCCAGATTTTGGCAATGATCCAGTCTTCGTTCTTACTAAATGAACTAGTGAGAAATCCGGCTTCTGCCCAAGAATTGCTTTAAATACCCATTCATTTTCCATCAACTATGAATTAATCATTTTGACTTTTGTGCGGAAAAAAAATCAGCTGAACTCTATTTATTTAAATGTCCTGCGGGGTCTCTTGCTATTCAAATGAATGTCCTAGAATTGCTCAAGTAAAACAGAGCATGCGCATTCTATCACTGTGATCCCTCTTAAACAATGTGCGATAAGCCTACTCATTCAATCAAATTGGCTAAGAAATCGTCCAATTAGAAAACAGTAGTGTTGATTGGTCATAGTTGATTGGCCGAACCACAATGCGTTCAAGTGCAAGCGTGCTATCCTACAAGTTGTGGACGAACACGCGGTCAATGACACTTACTTATGGACAAAATTAATCAACTGGTTGAACCCTACTCAGCTTAATATCAATTTCCACCGGAAGCTCAATTTCAATCACCACTGGATTATCGATTTATTGATTGGACATGACCCGTTTTCATTCGTTCTTTACCTTCTCCTTTTTGGGATTTTTTATACTCTGTGATTGTTCACGGGGTATGTTCTACTTATTTAAAACCATTTTCAGATTTTGCTTGTCCTTGTTTAATAGTTAAAGAGTTTATTTTAAAGTCTGATATACGCTAATTATTTTTGAAACTCTAAAACATTTTAAACAGTACAACTTTACATAGGTACCCTTATAGCTAATGGAGTCGTTTCGCCTTAATTGAGGTAGTTTTTACCGCTTTTCGCATTCGTTTGACGTCTATTCCGGACCACTGGGAAAAAAAAAACCAAAGAGAAAATTCATTAGCGTGATCAGCTGGTTGATAGATAAAGACTTCTTTCATCCCACTCCCTGTAATACGTTAGGTTTTAGAGCTTGGAGGGGGGGGGGGTGTTCAGAAAATTGATAAATGTCTGTGGAGTTGTGACCACGCAGGTGGTGTAGGTATGGCTATAACCTCCCCTTCGTCTGCTCGTAGACTCCCCCATTAGCCCTCCTTCAGGCCCTTTGCATCTCCACACACTGCGAGTTGACGACTTCTCATTGGAAGTAATAAAGAATATGCCGTTCACCATACTGCAGTAAATTTAAAAAAGACTACCTCGTTGGTCCCAGAATCTAGTTCATTTTTTTGACAGAACCGAGTCTGTGTTAAGAGGTAAATCGATTGAATTTCTCTCAAGAATTCAATATTAATGATACAAAATCCTTTAATTCGAGAAAAGATGACAATGGATTCAAAGAGTTTGAAGTTAAATTAATTTCCTTATTGGAGTTTTATGAAAAGAGGAGAAGAACTTGGAAATCTTCTCAATTCCATGTCTCCCTCAGATTGTCATTTTCATAGCATTCTTGGCTACTCGTTCAATTTTGGTTTTGAATTAGGATAATTCGCTTCCCAAAAGCCACAAATATTAAGAATATGTTTCTAATAGGTGAATGTAAGACTATTTTTGATGAGTAGCAACAATGCACCGAGTATTTATGTCCTTTCTTGTCGATTAAAACACCATTTATATGCCAACGTACTTTGCGAGAAATTTTCCTGATCATTTAAGTCTGACGACATTTGAAATTTGCTCCAAAACCAGTTGACAATGTGATAATTGTTTTGTTATCATGACTTGTTTTACGTCTTCACATTCTCATATCTGCCTTTTCCATTACTTCCTCGTTTTTCTCAATGCGTCATCGGACGGATAGACGATTCCAGTCATTATAGTGGAGAAAAAACGTATTTCTCTCCCATTTTTTTTCGCCCAAAGACAGGCGTTGTAGTTTGATAGGTAATGTCAACCAGTGAGTCTTCAATCCCCTTACATTTTCCTTTGTATATAGGAAACAAACTACACACACACAGGGAGGGAGAGAGGACAATTCCTTAGATCGATTCCTATCCCTATCTAAAACAAACCTTCAAATCACCCTCGAAAATAACGCTTTTTCGGTGCATTTTAGCTTCACTATATATTGTTAAATTGTTATCACACTTGAACGGGATAATTGCATTCCAGGCTCTGGTTGGATTATTTAACGGTCAGAACTTATCCAGACTGGAGCAAATTATATTTCAGTCAAATTTGACACAAATTGGTTATGTGCTTTGAACTGAAATATAGCGCTAAATATTTGCTATGACGAGATAATAGTCATCTCGTTTGAATTTCAATTAATTGAAAAATCTATTTGGTTAAAGGTGAAATGGAAATGCTTTGAATTAACATTCTTTTATTGTAGATTTAAAATATGCTTCGCATTCTCTTTTTGTAACAACAAACGCTTAAGTTGTTTTGGTCAAGGTCTTTTAACACCACCTAAGTTGAAAAGGCGGCAGAAAAGACCCCACCTAGTGAAGAAACCTAAATTCAGCCAAACGGATTTACTTCCGGAATTTGACCACTTTTCTTATTGACCATGTACCCATAGGCATCAAACCCATGACCATTGACACACTATTAGCTGAACTATCGGCGTTCTCAAATTGGATCCGACAAAAAATGAGTTCTTTTGTAGCCTAGGGAAGAGGCTTTAGTTGATTCTTAGAGGCGTAATGGCTAGGCGGATTCTTAAATTCGGTAAGTTTATATCAACATGCGTATCTCGTTATCATAACGACTCACTGATTGGCACTAAAATGAAATTATAGTAAAAACATTGTAAATATAATATACTAGTAAGTAATAACAGGTGTGAATGTAGTTCTAACAGTGTAGTGCATTAAACCTCACGTCATCTACTGTCCACATTTCTTTTTTCTGTGAGAGTGGGTTATATCGTGGAGTGATTGCACTTTAAATAGCCTTTCATAATGCCTCACGGGACAATTGGATTAAGTTGTGAGGGAGAGGGAGAGAGAGGAGTAAAAGAAGTGGCACTGGAAAGGACGTATGGAATGCATTGATAACGTACTCTAACCCTCGAACCTCACCCACACAACAGCAAATCCTTATTGGCTGGTTGTTGTCCTAACAACCAAATGACACATGGACCCCCCTAGAGTAATTAACAGTACCATTACTCAGTCACTACCAGGCGCATTGGCATATGCAATGTCCCAACACGAGGGTGGGTGGGTGGATGGGTGATTAGTTTTGATGACTGCCACAGACCAAACATTTATTCGTTTATAGTCTGAAATGCCAGATTCACAATGGTAGTATTCCCTCACCTTTCCTTATCGTTTCATCCATCTTCAAAAAATCGAATAAATGACGCTATTTAGTCATCATTTGGGACAGTGAATTGTAGTGGAAGATTTATATTCGAAAATAATTTTTGACTGGCTCTTCTATTCGATTCCATTCTGGCCGTTTGAGGCTACCTTTATCGAAGTTTGAAAGGAAGATGAAAGCACCTCCCGGTTTTATTTGATTTTTCAGCACATCCTGAGCAGGAGGATTATTTTATTGGGGTGTTCTCGAATTTGATAGCACTTATGTTATTTGAGTTTAATTGGTGCTGTAGGCTATTCCGTTCGCTATAATGGCAATGGACGTCGAATTTGTGGTCTCTTACTTCGTGGACGATCAAGTTAGCCGCTGAGCTTCAAGTATATGAGTTTATATGACAGAATTTTCCTGTTTGATTGGCGCATAATTATTACGTTGCCAATTATTTAGTGAATGCCATTTTATATTGATTGTTAACACAGAAATGTTGAAACTTGACCCGTTTTAAGGAATTTTCTAGTGATGTTGGCAATTTCATAATGAGATTTTATCCTTTCTACATGAGTAAATTAGGACATAATTAATCGTTCCAGCAATCACTAACCGCAAGACCATTAGGTGATTAATGTCTTACTTAAAGACTTCTTTCAACCTCCGGTATATCCAGTGCTAACCGTCATTCAGGCTTAACGCCATCCTTCTATTTAATCGTTCCTTTGTTTCCAAATGATTGTTAATTAATCAAGCTATCACCTTCTATTCCTTGCACCTTATAAAACTGCATATAGTGGAGTCGAATTATTGATTTTATGAATATGAATATGCCTTAAACCTTACAATTTCATGCCTACTCCATTTAAAATTTTAAATATTGGCAGTTAATGTATTTCACAAACTATAGATTGGAAACTTTTTGCAAGCCTGCATCGCATGGCAGTACTCAATGACAGCCGCCAGATTTTTTAGTTTATCCTTCCATAGCTCAACAGTTATTGATATTTGCATGGCTTAATTTTTGTACTTCAAATGACATTTTATTCATTAAAACCGATTTGCTTTATTCTGTCGACACAAGGTTAATTAATTTAAAGTGCAATAGTAGGATCGCTCAATAAATGTCATTTATAACCAATGTCTACTTGAACTTGAAATAAAACATTTAAAAAGTCGATTTCAAGATGTCACAGAATAGTTTTTTTCTCCTAGCGATTACATTTTACTTAGTTCCAAAAGTAGGCTAATTGTCAATCTCTATTAGATTTTAATGAAATAAACTGTTGGCAGAGCGAAATACTCATCTCTACACTTATTCATGAAATTCTGTTAATTTGGTCATTCAATTCGTTTCTTCATTTACGAGTTTCAATCCATTACTTACACAAATACGATCATTCACGAGATCAGTTCGTCACCAAGCGCTTCCCAATTTTTTTTTTAAATTTGGAAAATGGCATTATTTTTTTACACAAAGGTGTAGCATTATCCTATTGTAATTTTATAGGAAAAGAGGTAAACGATAAGAGTCTTCATTTTATTATATATATTCTAACTTCTGTGCGAAATTTGGAAGTTTTAAACAAAATTTTCCCCTTTAAGCAATAAAATAATCTGCTTATATTAGTTGGGTGACACTCTTCTTCCATTGTTTTCCTTAATTTCCGGAAAAAAACTGTTTTACTTTTTTTACGACCAATCAGTAGAAGTTTTGTCCTGGATTTACATTTGTTTATTTATTTATTGTTCCCCCCAGTCATTACTCTTCAGTGGGATTTTTACTGTTGCATTCGAATGCTTTATTTTGCATCTTTCCATGAAAAGTTAATTACTAATGGCAAATAGCGTTAACTTTAAGGTATACTGATTCACCAGTCATCCGTTGATTGAAAGAAATGTCAAAAATTCTCTTGGTTGACGTGTTTTTCATTTATCTCTAAGCTTTTGTTTTTCATCATTTGGCTGTCTTACGAATCAATCTCAATTTTTCCCGATGGTGAGCAAATGTAGTCTTCAATGCTTGGTACTTGATAATAATTTCGAATTCTAATTCAGTACCTTTCGAACTTTCACGAGTTTCACTTTATTGACGTTTTTTATTTCATAATGGCCTAAAATTGTTTCAACGGTTGAAAGTCTGGCATACAGGAGGTGGTTCGAAATTTCGTCTTCCCTCTTCGAAAGTCAATAATTTTTCTTATTTAGTTAGCTTTGCTGGATAAAGGTAATTATATAGCCAGCCAAAATTCAATGTTGTGTATCACTTAGTCATCAATCTCATCTTCCAGTAATTTCATCATCATAAGATAATTGGATTACCACCTGTGAGTAACTATCGACGATTTAATCACATTGCTATGAACCAAGAGCCGTCAATACAACCGATCTTGTCCTAGAAACAAATCGTTTGACTTTAGTCAAGCCACTCGAAATAATTTAAACT